AGTCTTTACGAGGTAATAGAAGTAATCTGCTGTTTCTAAAAGTTCACTCTTGACTGTGATTGGTTAAATTCACCTGTCGCTCACTCCAAGCGTGACGGAGGCTGACCAATAGAAGGACGTGATTTGAACAAAATAACATACCTTCACAGGGATGAGATCACATTAATTACATTTTTTCCACCACATCACAAATCTCTATATTTTTCGGTTTCATTTTGTGGAAACCATCTGGCCTCACAGCATTACAATTTGTTCGCTTGACAGTAGGCGGGTACTTTTTTTATCTAACCAATTGCTGTTATTTGGTCGTGACGTATGTAATGCGCCAAATCCCGTAGGAAGAAGTCAATAACGTCTTTCCCCTTGATAAAATTCACCAAACATTCTCTTTGTTCCAGCTTTAAATCCTCGATCTCGGGAATCGTTGTCAACACAGAATGTATGGCTTTGTCTCCATCCATCTTCACCGCTTTGTTTACTGTTGTGCTGTACCACAAAAGGGACCCAGACAGGCACTTGAGTTTGACATCATGGCTTCACAGCTCTTTGCTGATTGGCCGGTGCGAGGTCTACAACTTCCGAGGTTCTTGCAAACTGTCTAGGATATGTTATTATGCAGTGTATAATTAAGTCATTTTGTGTTTTCTAAGGAGGAAAAGTGCTGTCTAAATTAATTAATCCTATTAAAATGCACAATCTGGCATTATGTTTGAGAGATTGAGGCAATCATTGCTCTGTAACCTCGCCGTAAACCAGAGAAACATTAAAATAACTGCTTATTAGCAATAATTAATGTGAGAATAGCATTTGGTTGAAGCCCATTTGGTTCATTACACTGTCTTAGCATTGTAGTGCAGTCACATCCAGCCTCAAGGTTAATCACAGCTCACATTTGTTATATTGCCCAGAGCCAATCTCTTTAATTATTGATGCACCAAACTGTGTCCGACAGTCCAACCACACAGAGCAGGTTTAAATGCAGCCAAAGACAATATCTACACGCTCCAAGCTAAACAGTGCTGATACATACAAGTCAATTATAATGGTCCAATAATGTCTCAGGTAGGGCCGGAGCGATATTAACAAAATAAAGGTCTCGATTTTTTTGAAGTATCCCAGTAGTAAGAAGAAGATTATTTCAGTTCAACATGTGTATTAAACATGACTTTAAATGTATAAGTTAAGGTTTAAAGTTCCCATATTATTATCTTCTAATCTATGTTATAATATTATTTCCTTGTCAAAAACATACCTGGAGTTCTATTTTGTTTCATTCACACATGTTTAACACGCAAATCCTGCATATTTAGACTTTTTTCTTTTCTCAAACAGAAAACACTCTGTTCCACCTCCTGATGTCATGTGGTAATACAAAAAGGGCTACACTGTGTTTTTAAACTTCTTTTATACTTCACCATAATCATCTGAATAATTTCATCCTCAGCATTGCCATTTTCTACTGAACTAAAGGTAAAAGTAGCTGTTAACTTGACAACTACTGCTTCATGACACAGAGGAACAGAGCGTTATGAGCTTTGGAGCTGAAGATGCAGACAGACTATTAATAATGAATGAAACAATACATAACTCCAGGTATGTTTTTGAGGTGGTAACAGCATTCTAACTCGACTTAATGCTCACAAGAGTAATTTTTTTCCTCATTATATTTTCTAAATTTGCATCAAATTCTACTTTAAACTATATTTTCGATATTAAAATTTTCTTCAAAGCAAAATACACAATATTTTTTAGAACCTTTCAATTATCTGCTCACCTCATTTCCCAGGACATTATGTTATTGAAATCCTGCTCTAAATATACGTACACTGCTCGTTTGACTTCAGTTTGTATAATGTTGCTAATGTCCATTTACCAGCTTCTATTTGGTTACAATGCAGCCACAGCTATTTTGTTTACCTGTTCATCACTACTCTCTCTTTTGTACTTTTCAAAACCCAATCACTTTTCAACCTGACATTTTTATTTTGTCTTGGATTTAAACTGCAAACAGAACCACATCATAAAATTCTCAGTTTCACCCTTCTCAGAAAACCATTAGTGTCTGGATAGCAAACATGAGCCTAGAGCCTGGCTGCCATGTCGAGGAGGTGACGGGGTCAAAAGGTTGTGACATTTGACCCCCAGAGGCAGTAAGAGTCTTCTGAACTTGGTTATCTCTGTAGTGCTACACATTCTTTATAGTCATAATAGACAAACATAGCAGTGGCTGACCTCAGCGTTAATGCCATTCTGCAAATTCCACATCAACAAATGGAGCCTGACCACAGATATGAGACACTTGGTCATGTGGTCTCTGACAATGTGATTCTTTGAGCTGTTCCATAGGGGGACTGGGTGTACCAACTTCAATCAAAGCACTTAGAGGCACTTAGAAAACAGGTGGGGCAGCGAGATATGGATACAAAAATATTATGCTGTACTAATAATCTGGAATACAGAAATGGAAAAATTTATACAATGTTTTATCAAAATGGAATAAAAAATCTCTGAACCAAGACAATAATTTAGGACAGTTACAGGTGTCATTACTGCTCAAAACTTCCTTCAAAACATGCATTCTTACTGAGTACTGGGGTTGCCTCTTCATACATCTGGCTTGTAACTTCATGGATGGATATATACCTTCATCGATATACAGAATGTACAATCCAAAGCCATATTACTGAACATGCCGGAAATATCATCGCCATGGAGAAAAGTAGGGCTGAGTATCATTAAAAAGTTGCCGATATGATACATACCTCGATACACAAGCCACGATACGATACATAATTCAATACAGTTCACTTTCGATTTTATACAATATATTTCAAATCGATCTGATATGGTTCAGTAAAAATTAAAGGCTAAATCATGGCTGTGAAACTGAAAGAAGGGGTGGGCGATATATCGATATTTTAAATATATCGAGATAGTTTTTAAACTCGATATGAATTCTGACATATCGTATATATCGATATAATGCTTATATTCAATTCTGATTTTGCCGCTTCGCTTGTTTACCTTCTCTCTCGTCGCCCCCGCCTCCCTGATTTTGTTCGGTCGTGTCTCCTTCACTCGTCACTATCGCCGTGAACGCCGAAAGTTGGTACCAGTGAAAAGCTTCAAGCACCACGAACCTTTTCCACCATTTACAGACAAAACTATCAACAGCACATTCTCATATTCCACCGAGTCGCGTCCTTTAGCCGGAAAGAAGCTAAACGAGCTGAGCTGCATGAGAAGTGCGCTGTTTATGCAAATGAGCCATGCGCTTAAGTTTCGTTTCTGTAAAATGTAAACACACGTGCGCAAAACTGCATTAAACACATTATTATCTCAAATGGGCTGATGTGGCTCTAGAGTCGTTATGCTTTATATTGTAAAGTTTATTTATGCAGAATATTTTAATTAATAATCTGCTGCAATGTCACTTGTACAATAGTGTTTGGAAACTCTGGGTTTGATCTGCAGTGGATTTTGGGATTAAACCTCAGAGCTCCTTACTGCTGGATAATAACATGGATCTGTTAAAATAAGGAACATCCTGAGCTTCTTCTGCTAAAGGAGCTCATGGTTCTGGTTCTGGTCTGGATAACAGAGTTAATGCAAAGATGAGCTTGTGTTGAGTTGTTTTATTTATGAATGAAAAGAAGGAAATATGTGTTATTTCTTTTATTTTACAGTTAAATTATTATTTATGTAATTCGAGTTTTTTTGTAATCTTAAATGTTCCTATAAGAACTGCTGACCTCTTACACTTCAATTTAAAAAAAAAGAACCTTGTGGAATTTGGCAGATTTGTTTTTGCAGTTTTCAGTTTTAGGGGGTTATTTTTTCTTGTACATATATCGAGATATATATCGTATATCGAGATATAGCAAAATATATCGAGATATATTTTTTGATCCATATCGCCCAGCCCTAACTGAAAGACTTTGTTAAACCACTTCCTGTGCAAAGTTAATATTAAACACAAACATTTTACTCATCAAAACAGTGAAAATGTCAAATGTGTTACATAAACGAGTTTCCTTCCACTGAACAAGCAACAAAACTGAAGCGCTGTAACAAAATAATTTAGTAAAATATACCAAAAAATGCTCAACAGCCCACAATATCAATACTGTATCATACTATATCATGTATATTAAACGATATGATATATACTGATATGTTTGCACAGCTCTAGAGACAAGCGCTTAATGAACCATCTACCAGAAAAGTTACATAGTGCACCTTTAACTGTGAAAAAATGGGAGTGTGCTGGTGTGTGTTTCAATGTCAACAACATACACTGTACATATAGCCCCCGTTTTCTTTAAAAGGAATAAGTGCAATAGAAATGAATGCATGCATAAATATCCATAATAATACAATATACAACCCTACTTACAATACCAGAGCACACTTCAACCTCAACGTGAACCAACACCTACATCAAGCCTATTAAATGTAATAGGGCCACTGTCACTGCTGTTGTTTTCTACTGCG